ACTTTGTATTGTCTTAATTTTTCTCTATATAATTTATATGTACATATTTTACAAAGCTGTATTTTGATGCATTAGGTGCAATAGTGAATTAAAATGGCGCTTTGATCATTTGATTGGTGCTTTGTCATGTGATTTAGACAGCCAATCAGACCATATCCTTCAATGTCGCATCTCTGTTTTCTAGGACTCTAGTCTAGATTCATTCGTCAGGATTTTGGAGTGAAATAGTAATCAGCTAGCGTACGACCTACTCAATGAAAACAAAGCGCGTAGCGTTCGCCTCATGATCGTGCTTCAATGTCCGCGGGCCATAATAATGAGATAAAAATAAATACACTGCTCGAAAAATCCACAAAAGAGAAGAGATTCGCTAATTCGAGATTTGAGAACTGTAATCTCAATAAAGAATAATTCAAATAATCCCAGAATAATTCAAATAATTCCAGAATAATTCAAATTATTTTTCAATACGACAATCAAAATATTGATTTCCGAATAAATATGGCAACTCCATCGCTCCGTTTAAGTTGGAATCACTCGAATCGAATGTAATTGACCTCAAAATATAGATTTTCATGAGTTTGGACAAAATGTGAAAAATGCCGAAATCGACTCTTATGGGTTTTCCTCCTTCGATCAAGTTTTTATATAATGTAAACAAAACTGGAAAACTTTCTTAATAATATTTAAGCATCAAACACAACACAGAACTTATTGCAAAAAATATTATCTCATTGTCAATCAGAGTTCGAATCTGGTATTCTTCCTGACTATTTCAAAGCACACATCTTTATCAATTCGACCACTGACTGTGAAACATATGGTAAAATATTTGATTTTAAAACTATAATTGTTTAATAATCAAATGTAATAACATTAAGATTTAAAACGTTAAATAACTAGTCTCTCTATATAGCACACATACACAAGCTTTTCTATACATTAAACTTTTGTGATAAACCGTGATAAATCTTCTAATTCTTTATATTAGCATATTTTTATTTTTTAATGTACTTATCTTTAGATTCACAAACGCGTAATTTTTTTCAAAAATTTTATTAAATTATTTTTACTGCTAGTACTGAAAATCTATCTTATGTAAGTTCACCTTACATAATATACAATAGATAGTTCAGTATAATATACAATAGATAGTTCAAAATGCTACCTAATAAATATAAAATACTGACTTTTAAAATATCGAGGCGCCATTGATTGAATTGATATTGAACGCATTCATAATTTTTTTTGTAATGGCAACACTGATGCTATTGTTATTCGTCACTAAAGTATTCTTGGGCTAATTCTAAAACGTTGCTTTCGAGGAAAATTTTACTAAAAAAAGTATAGCATACGTAATGTAAACTGTACTAGCGAACGCAGCTTACGTGTTGACGAATCAATTTCAAAATATTATTGAGCATGTATCTGGTAAAATCTAGGAAAATTTTATTAAAAAACTATAGCATACGTAAACTATAACTTTTTAGTAAAATTTTCCTCGAAAACGTTTTGGAATGTACAGCCTTGGTAATGTAAGAACCATGTGCACACATATATATATATATATATATATATATATATATTAAAACTAAAAATTATACACATTATCAATGTCGCCCTTTGAAAATCGTCTATGGTACAAAATATTTGTCAATATTTAAATTTCGATTTAAATAAAATATTTCTACCTCCATCTCTATCTTTAATAAAAAATGTGATACATTGAATAAATATATAAAAATAATAAAGAACTAAAATAACGATAGAAGTAATCTGGATTCATTATTATTGTAATAATATTATCGTTACAAACAGTAAAAAATATCATTATCGAAAAAAAAGTAACAGTAATGATAACATTGCACAAGTATCGCGTTACTTCCTAATCCTGAAATAATTAGCTACCATATATGAAATCAAGTCTAGAGAAGACCTTCCTGAATCAGAGACTTCTAGGTTTTTAATAATTTATTTAGAGTTAAAGTTCAATATACATAAATATGCTTACCTTTGTGACAAGCGTGTAGTTGACACTGTACCCGATAAACTTTGTTTAAGTAAAGTTTCTCCCAATTCGTTCAATTCTTCCAATGCTTTTGCTTTACTGTCCATTTTTTCTTCGTCAGTGTTGGTAATTTCATCTACGGAATTGTCATTTAGAAGAATAAACATAATACAGTCATTGTAATAAACATAATAAATAAATATAAAGATATATGCAGAAAATACAAACTGCTTCAATATTTTGATATTTTGTACATCTTCGATTTTTGCGTTAAAAAAAGGGCCATAAGATCCTACTTGAATTTTAAATTATAAGAAACATTTTATTATTGTAAGAATTATCGAAATCAGGTGATTTTAGTTGAAACAGATGTATTTGACACCTGTTTAGCCTGTAATTAGCCCCATTTTTGCCATCAACACTCTAATGAAATTGTAATGGTTAATTCAGTTTGAAAATTATTATTAGCTGTTTGAGATTTATCAACGTTCATTTTGTCAAGAAAAAAGATTAAAGCTTTACTATAAGATAAACAGAACGTAAAATAACACACTATCGCTCAATAATCAATACATCCCACAGTGGGCCAGGGAGCTCGAAAAAGTGGTCAAAAATTAACATGCAAATTCGCACTTCATTATCACGGTAGAACACCTTAAGGGATTAGTATACCCTGACGAGATAAAAAACAAGCTAATTTTTAGGAATTTTTTTCTGGCAAAATATAAATAATACATGAAATCCGTTTAAACCATTATCT